GAGTCGCAGCTTAAACTACAGCAGGAGGAATCCAAGAGTTCTCTTGAACGAACAAGGCAAGAGATGGCAAAAATCTTTAAAAGGCAACAGGCCCTGGAACTCGAAAACAAAAAACTTCAAGAGAAAGCAGTCGATTTCAGGAAAGGGTTAAACGATCTGGAATCAATTTCAGATGAAGAATACTTGGAACTGAAAGCTAAAGACCCTGACCAACTGGGCTTGAGGGAATTTTTGATGGTTAGTCTAACTACTGCATTATTCTTTAAAGAATAATGAGTGGTGAATTCATTTAGGTTGTTATGAAGTTTCTGTCAGCTCAGCTTTCTTGCATTTATTTTGATATTTATAAAATATTTTGAAAGCAATTTTATCCATTCAAAGAAATTTTAATCTGACCGAAAAACGGAGAAGTTGTAGCCAAAAATTCACTTCACATTCATGCAGGAATGCAGATTTGAATTTAATACTGTTTGCTGCTGGGACAAATGAATTCATTCAATTCAACTGTCAAAATACTTAACTACAGATGACATTATGGACCGACTCAACCTCTCCTTAACTTTGACGTACTTTCAGTACCGTGTAACTGTTTGTAGTGTTTGCCATGGTACAACTATGGGTTCTCCAGTTTCTGTTGTTATAGCAGAAATTGTTATGCAAAACATTGAGAAACAAGCCCTAGCCACTTATACGTAACTGTACCTCTTTGGTTAGGTTACGTTAATGACACTTTCTCCGCTGTACACAAAGACGAAAGCGAAGATTTCCATGAACACCTTTAACAAACAGAATGCAGACATACAATTTACCAAGGAGATTGAAAAAATGGTAAAATACCTTTTCTAGACTGCTTGGTCACTTGTGACAACAAACAAATGACATTTTACAGAAAACCGACACATACCGACAGATTACTAGAACAGTCATTTCATAACCTGACCTCTCTCAAGGCTACAACTATACAGATTTTGACGAGACGAGCACAATTAGTTTGTGACTCGCCTGACAGCCTTCAAGATGAGACTGACTACCTATACAACCTTTTTTGTAGAAACAACTACAATGCAGACTTTGTCAGACAAAACACTCATAATAACATTGGACCAGTGTCAACTCTGGCCCTGTTATAACAGCGACTATACCATACATCAGAGGCACCTCTGAAACTATTGCACTTATACTACAAACTTGCAATGTCTGTGTTGCACACAAACCTACATGTATAACCACTTTCAACGACTACTTACTAATGTCAAGGACCAAGATAAACCAGAGGACAGACAGGGAGTAGTATACAAGATTGAAATGCTGTGACTGCCAGGCCACTTACATGGGTGAAACTGAGAGAGACCTTAGCATGTGACTGACTGAACACAAATGAGTGACAAGAAATGGTGATATTAACAATCACATTGCTGAACACCATTTACAGACGAAACATCAAATCGGCTGGGACTCTGCCTCATGTGTTGTACAGACTACTATCAATGACTCACTTTAGAAAGTTAGAACAAACTTAGAACAAATGCCACTGAATCATAGTCGATTCTCATGATGTACTGCAGGTCCCCAAATTGTTGGGAGTTGTTGCTTCCATTTGAACACCAATGCCAACACAGATGCAACAACTCCCAACATTGTTGGCCCAACAGTATTGGGAGTTGTTGTGTCCGTTTGCACATAGCTTTATGATAATGATAATAATAATAATAATAATAATAATAATAATAATAGTAATAGTAATAATAATAATAATAATAATAATAATAATAATAATAATAAGTAATGGTAACAGGACTGAGTGGAGTACAATTCAGTCTGTAATCATACGAGTGATTAATAAAATCGGATGACCACGTAGTGGGAGTCCAATTTGTTTAATGACAAGTATGATTACAGACGAAATTGGACAACATGAAGTTCTGTTACCAATTTATCGTAACTTTAACAAAATTTGTGATAAATAAGGCTCTTTTTTTAATTCAAAAAGAAGAAATGCCATTTGTTTGCTATCAGTAAAAGAAAAGCCATTTAATCTTCCAATTGATGGCGTGTACTGTCCAATTACTTAGACATGACACATATTGCCCTATTAAATTGTCCTATTAAGGCTGAAATCAGGGCAGTTGGTAGCCAATCAGATTTGAGAATTTTGTTATAGTTTATGATCATCATAATAATAATAACAGTAATAGTAATAATATTCTTGTTGTTGCAGATCAAAGTGTTTGAAGCTAGCCACCCTTTGTCTGTAGAATGCACAAACCTCAGACAGCAGATGGATTCCTTAGCTCATGATCTTCACACCAGAGATGAAGAAGTTGCTGTTTATTGCAAAGTAAAGTGAAACAAAGCTTGCCTTCTTTACAACACAGACACCCAGATAGTCATGTAAATGAAGCCTAAAAGCAGAGCTACCCTCATGAAGAAGCAACAGAGCAAATTAGGGGGATTTAGAACAAGTTCATGTTACAAAGCTAGGGCATGCCATCTGCTGTTGCATTGTGTTATGTTGGTGTTCCTGTGTAGGGTTGGGATTGCCATTCAAACGAAGATGTCCAGACTTTTCAGACATACCTTTTTTTGGATAGGATGCTATTGGTGCATGTTATTTGAATATCAAATATAGATGGTTTCCATGCTGAACTTCCTGCCACTGCAAAAAAAAAATTGGGAAAGTTCAGTCCAGTGAGAGTTCTCTTAAAAGATTGTATAACTCAACACATGGCTAATCTAAATAGGTAAATGTTAACTTAAAATTAATGCTATGAAATTACCACTTTTAAATCCAGGAAGCTGAAGATGAGAGGATGGGGCGCATGGAGATGGAACAAAGAGTACAAAAACTGTCAATTCAACTTGAAAAGTTACAGTCACAAGTTAATCAGGGCGATTATAGGATCTCTAATTTTGATCATGTGAGAAGGTGAAGAATGTAAAATAAGTGAGCTTGTTCTCTTGCTTTATTTTCAATAAAAGTAATTATAATAATTTTAATATTATTGTATTGCAAGGGTTGATTTCTGGTGTGCATGTACATGGGCTTTATTCTTTGATTAAAAGTGGCTAGTAGTTGACTCTCAGGGTTCTCATTAAGTGCTGGCAGCCGGCTAAAAAAACGGCTACTTGGAAGTTTGAGCTGTCTACTTTCTGGGGAAATAGGGTAAAGTGAGAGAGTGAAAGCCTGAAATTCTCTACAAAACTCCATTGGCAAGCTGCCTACTTTTACATCCTAGCTGTCCACTTTGAAACTTAATGAGAAGCCTGGACTCTAGGGAAGTGCTCTGTACATACTTGGTGGTGATCAGAAGTATGAACCTGGTTTATTGGCCTTTCATGGCTTGTTGCATGCAAATAAATGAATGATATGCATTCTTCATTAATTTTAATAGTGAACGTGACAGTTTGGATAGAGATGTGGTGGAGCTGAAGAAAAGCAATACCCTGTTAGATGCTGCCCTGAAAGCAAAATCCGACAGTTTAATTGATTTACAAAAGGAGGTACATGTATACAGAAGCAGAGTACCATATTCATGATAATTTTATATATTTCCATCCTGTAACTTGGTGAAACAATGACAGGGTTCTATCTAGGGTATTTGAGGGGTAGAAGCTTCCCCCCCCCCCAAAAAAAAAAATATTATTATCATTACAGTATATAAGTAACTATATCGAAAAAATCATCAAGACGTGACGAGGTTAGTGCACACACTGTAACATTCCTCAAAATTGTGTCTCAAAATGCACCAGATTGCATCTCAGTGCATATTCATTACAAAACATTTCTGGGGGTGGGGGGAGTTTGTCGCCTTCGGCCACTCAGGACTTCTCCCCCAAATGATAAATCCTAGATAGAACCCTGCCTGAATTTGACATCCATCAAGGATTAATATTAAACCTCAAGTTATTACACATCATGTCCAATACTCACCACTTGTTCAAGTCGTAAAACCTAAGACTCAAGTGGTATGAGTTGTTAAGTTGTGCGATTGGTTCAAGTGATGAATGTGATACGTTTGAGTGAAATTAGAAATTAAGTGTAGTAGCCTAACAGTTTTTCAAGGTTTGTTTTTGTTGTGTTAAACATTAATTTTAGATATATGTTGTAGTTAATTTTTTATCTCAGGTAATTTTTCTTTTTCTTTTGTTTTTGGTTATGGTAATGCTTAATAGAAAGTGTAAAAAGTTGTAATATTTTGTATTTATTAGTTAATGCNATAGTGAACGTGACAGTTTGGATAGAGATGTGGTGGAGCTGAAGAAAAGCAATACCCTGTTAGATGCTGCCCTGAAAGCAAAATCCGACAGTTTAATTGATTTACAAAAGGAGGTACATGTATACAGAAGCAGAGTACCATATTCATGATAATTTTATATATTTCCATCCTGTAACTTGGTGAAACAATGACAGGGTTCTATCTAGGGTATTTGAGGGGTAGAAGCTTCCCCCCCCCCCAAAAAAAAAAATATTGTTATCATTACAGTATATAAGTAACTATATCGAAAAAATCATCAAGACGTGACGAGGTTAGTGCACACACTGTAACATTCTTCAAAATTGTGTCTCAAAATGCACCAGATTGCATCTCAGTGCATATTCATTTCAAAAAATTTCTGGGGGTGGGGGAAGCTTGTCGCCTTCGGCCACTCAGGACTTCTCTCCCAAATGATAAACCCTAGATAGAACCCTGCCTGAATTTGACATCCATCAAGGATTAATATTAAACTCGAGTTATTGCACATCATGTCCAATACTCACCACTTGTTCAAGTCGTAAAACCTAAGACTCAAGTGGTATGAGTTGTTAAGTTGTGCGATTGGTTCAAGTGATGAATGTGATACGTTTGAGTGAAATTAGAAATTAAGTGTAGTAGCCTAACAGTTTTTCAAGGTTTGTTTTTGTTGTGTTAAACATTAATTTTAGATATATGTTGTAGTTAATTTTTTATCTCAGGTAATTTTTCTTTTTCTTTTGTTTTTGGTTATGGTAATGCTTAATAGAAAGTGTAAAAAGTTGTAATATTTTGTATTTATTAGTTAATGCTTGGGAAGTATAAAAATTTGGTGGATGAGAAGCTGTACTTTTGGCTAAAGCCTGGCAAGCCTAAAGCATAAGCATAAGCATAAGCATAGGGACATGACACCCGTAGAATGGCATATTTGACCCAATTCTCGATACCAGCTCTGCTCATCCTGATGATAAACAAGATAGCGGATGCTTCATTCGCCATATTGCTTTTGATATGTTCAAATGAGCATACATGCCAACTCTCTCGGAAAGGGCGCCAATCTTCCGCTCTCCCACATGGGTCACCATATCTCCCGGATAAAATCATCTTTTGAGCTTTTCTGTGCCTTAGTTTGAGATTTAGCCAATTTTTAGCTCAAAACTTGAATTTTTCTTATTCACAGTACAGTTTCTGGGGCATTTTTGCACGTATTTAGTCACTGACAATGATTATTTCTGGCATCAAAACAATGATTGCAAATTTTGATAGTATGTACTTCATGTAAGACCTCAATCATTCCATTGGGGGCTGGGTCAATTTGTCGGGGGGTTGGGGAGGGGGAGTGAAAAAAAGATAGTCTCTAGCTTTTAGATCTTCAGAGGTTGGCATCTCTGCATGAGGTCTGGGTCAAAGTGGCCTATGATTGGACCACGGCCTTGTGCTTTTGCTTGTGCTTATGTCGACCCCATTTTTACTAGTCAAAGCTACGACATAAGCGTAAGTACAAGCACTAAAAAAACTAACTTGTCCATTTTTCTTGTGCTTATACTTATGCTTATGTCGACCCAGTTTTCACTTGCTTACACATGTGCTTGTGCTTATGGCTATGCGCTAGTGAAAACCAGGCTTAATTGCCAATATTAACAAGATGAAATAGACAGCCATTATGCACCCCCTGTTAAGGAGTTGACATTGTATGCCCGATAATTCTTTATGTTTAGTTGCATGCCAGTCAACAGACAGTATCCTTGCTGAAACAAGACAAAGAGTACATGAACAGGCAACTGCAGGAGATTAGAGGCAGATGCACATTAGCAGAGGAGCGACTGGAGCAGTCATCAAAACAGCTTGAAGAAACAAAACAGGCCAGAGAGGAACTTTATGACAAGTACATCAGTGTTAGAGAACAGTACAAGTCAGAATATGAGTTGAGATTAAAAACTGAATTGGATGATATTAAAGAAAAGACCTCCATTGAACTGGACAGGATAAGGGTTGATACTAAAGAGATGTTTGAAAGAGAAAATAGGTAAGTGACCTGAAGGTGAGAGGATGACTAAGCACTCAGGTTTATTATAGTGACAGGCACTGGACGAAATAATAATTTTTGCACAAATGTGCCCCTTGCAAATATTTTGCAAATGTGTAAATACTGAAGAGTAATTATATGGCAAAGATGGTAAATGCCACATTTGCATACCAAAAAAAAAAAAAAAACAGGAGATGTAAATAACTAGGGAAATGTGGCATTTACCATGTTTTCCATATATTATTATCCTCAGTATTTATATTTGCAAGGAGCAAATTTGTGCACATCCATTTTTTCGTCCCATGAGGGAGATGCAAATAGGGTCAAATATTTGTACCCAAATCAAAGTAATATTAACTTGCTTAAGTTAACTGAATAGGACTGTCTAGTTATGAGTAGCATCTATGGAGTCTCTTTTTATCCAAGGAAATTAAAACCATCCTGCTGGATATATATCGAACATCACTAGGATTTTTTTCTCAAATCTTTGTTATTTGTTTTTGTTGTAGGAATCTTCGAGAAGCAAGAGACAATGCCCTGGAGGAAAAGGAACGCGCTTGTGTCAATGAGAAAGAAACAACCTCAAAATATGATCTACTTCAATCTGAGTAAGAACTTTACGACATGTAAAGGGGTTTCTTTGCATTTGCATGATTCTTTTCTCTGTGTTATCATATATTTGTAGAAACCATTATTGTGTTGAGAAAGATGTTGGATGGTTCGATGGGTGTAGCCAGCAATTTTCACACAACATACTTTATCACAGAATATACTTTATCAATCACTGTGGTCTGACTTGTGATGAACGGTTCACTCAGCTAGCATTTCAGCAAGAAGGAGGTGCCTTGGATGCGTCTGTGTAAAAAAGATGTGATTGTTGAACTTACGTCAAGAGCCTACTGTAACAGATGTTTATTAGAGTAGCCTGCATGACAGGTGCTGTATGGGCCAAGTGAGTCTAACGGGGCTTTTCCACGAAGCGCGAGAAGAGTGCAGACTTTGAGATGATCGAGGGGATTTCGCTAATGTAATTGGCAACTTAGTAGAAAGAACTGACGGTCACTTTCTGCCATGGCATCAGCTGCATGGCTCAACTTGATACTGAAGTGGCTTGTAATACTGAAAGGCATAGTGTGATGTGGGTATAGTGACGATGAATTATTTGAATACCACATTTAACAGGCTGTTCACCTTGCTATTGCTGTCGGTGTCCCAGTTCCAGGTAATTTCCTCAAATTGATTTGCAAACGGCTGGTTAAGGGTCTTAAGGCTGGTTTTCACTAGTGATGGAATCATAAGCAGAGTCATAAGACTGGTTATGACCTTAACTTCTGAAAATCAAAAATCAGAGTCATAAGCAAAGTCATATGCATGACAGAATTAGAGTCTTCCGACTTTGCTCTCCGTCACTTACAGTCCAGTAAAAACCAGATTGTCAGAGTCGGAAGGATGAACCAATCACAATGTGATTGGTTTAGTTCTACTGCTTCTGCTTGCAATCTTGACAGCCCAGTTTTCACTTGATCATAAATGATAGAGTCATGAGCGAAATCACAACACTGTGTTTTCACTAGATCTTTATTCACGGTTCTAATTATGACTTTGACTATGCACCAGTGAAAACCAGCCTTTGCCTGACAAAGCTTCTGCTCTCAGCACTGATGGTAGAATGAAAAGGAAACTTCATGCTCTTCATGGCCTTCAACTGGCACCGTGTTTCACATTAGCTGAGCAATGTTGTCTTGCAGACCTCTTGCTGATCTTCATTATCATAATAACATTGTAACCCTTGATATAGTATGTGATGCCTTTCTGATTTTTTTGTTTTCTTTGCTTGAAATATAGCCAGTTTCATAGCCCAAAGAGGGGTTCTGGAAGCCCGGCCTAGAACCCTCCCCTGGCTATGCCACCGTTCGGTACATGAAAAGATTGACGTTTGAACTGGGCTTTAGCTACAGGAGACTGGTGGGAGCTATGACCACTATAAAATCTAGCGTTATTAATGTGTTGCTTTTTACTTTGTTGTAGATTTCGACAGTTACAACTCTCTGCTGACAGCAGACAGTCTGATCTGCAGAAAGAGATAAATGTCAAACAGTTTGAGTTAGAGAAAATGCAAATGATCCTTGATGAGACAACCAGCAATCTACGTCAGGCAAAACTAGAGGCTGAAAAATATCAGAGCAAGAGTGAAGTATGATTATCATCACAATTATGATTGTCAGTTAGAACTTGTCATGAATCTATTGTATAAATGACATTATGGACAGCCAGCCTGTCAAAGTGTACTAGTAATTTACCCACATTAGTAATTTTCCAAAGTAATATTGGCATTGTGGCATTTGTGTTATTCTGGAGTTTTCCACCTTTCCTTCTGGGGACCCATGCTTCTTGTTGCCTTTGTTAAACAATAAATGGATCAAGTCTAAAAATGAATGTGATCTCAGTCATACTTGTCATCAAAATGTGGAACCATTTATAGGCAAACAACCCGAGAGGCAGCCCTCATCTTTCCTCCAGATGTTGAACAAAGGGGCTTACTTAAATTAAATGGGGATCCTGTGCCATAGAACTGACAAAAATTACTGTCAGACCCTTGATGACAAATCGTGTTTCCTTGGATGGCATTTCTCATTTTGAGGTTTCATCAAAGAAGTTTGACAGTTAAGCTTCATGTTGCAGAAACTGGCCAGTTTCCGAGTCTGAAACATTGAATTGTCCACTGTTAATTCAACTAGATTTTTTTTCTCTCTCATCTAATTCTTACATTTATTTTAGCACTCCTAATTCGTGTTACCTTGATTGCAATAGTAGTTTCATATGTTTGCATTTCAGGTATTAAGTAAGGAATACTATTCTCTAAAAAATTCTTCTGAAAGAAGACTTGTTGAATTGGAATTAAAGTGTAAGGAACAGGGTGACAAGCTGGCAGTCTATGAAAAGCTGGAGCAAGAACTGGATGATGTTATCATGCAAGCTGCAGAAAGTACGAATTTGAGAAATTCTGTATTATTTTTCAGTTATTGAAAGTATGCTCCATAAGTGTATTAATAATACTGACAATAAATTTTAGTCATGGAATTCCAGTGTTGTAGAGTCCAGGCTAATAAGAAGAAGTGATCTCTTTTGCAAATTACTCTTCTCTAATATTTTTTTGGGACAAATGGCTCACCATTCTACATCTTACTGTATGTACATTGTTTTCTCAATATGGGTTTGGGATTTTAGGGCCTGCAAACATTAAATCATATTGACAATAGAAACATGCTGTAAGTAGGTTGAGTATGATTGTCCGGGTGAACATAGTCCTGAATAGGACTGTTGTTGTTTGGACAACCTGTGCGGTATGCGGTATAGTCATCTTCAGAGTCAGAGTGAGTTGTGTCAATACCATCAACTGTTGTGATACAACTCACTTTGACTCTGAAGATGACGACTGCTCAGGTTGTCGAAATGTCACTGTCAACAACAACAGTCCTATTCAGGACTACATTCACCCGGACAATCAAACCCAACCCACTTAAGAAATGACTCCTGGGCTCAAACCTTTCACAGAAACATGCAGTTCGGAGCAAAAATCAGAAGCAGAATCATGTAACTGATCATTAATAAGCGTGTGGTGCAAAAACTGTCCAGAATTGATATAAGAATTCCCATTAAATACTATGCATTACACATTGCAATGGAAAATATCACAAAATAATGCATTTTTACAATCTACAATCTTTGCATAAAATACTTGAAACACCTATGCACATCCCTTTCCCTATGCAGTGTTGAGATGTGATTGCAAAGTTATGTGACTACAACAACATTGCAAAAGGGAGGGAGGAAATGAAACCGAGTAGAATTCTCCAAAGTGTTTTAAGGTTTTTGTCTGAGATTGTAAATAGTCATGGCAATTCACATCCTGTTAATCTTGAATTGTCTTTAAGTTGAGAATGAATCAGATGCTGAAAGAGTTCTATTTTCCTATGGTTATGGTGCTAACGTACCAAGCACAGCCAAGAGGAGAATGCAACAGAGGTAAAAAAAAATATTACTATAATTTTTGTGAGGTTCAAAGTGAAAACTATTGAAGTTGACCCTGCTCAGATTAATCAAATATTTTCAAATTATCATTGGAGGTGTGTGTGGCTGAGCGGCCATTAATTAACACCTTGAACTCCAGATCTGGAGGTCTGTGGTTCAAGCGTCGCCCGTCAGGTTGTTTTCTTAGACAAGGAACCTTACTACACTTTGTCTCTCTTCATGTGAATGTATTAAGTAATACTGGTGACCT